CCAATATTAACTTTTTAACAAGTCTGTTGCGGCGTGCAACCCGATCCTCCAATATTAACTTTTAATAAGTCTGTTGCGGCGTGTAATCCGATCCTCCAATATTAACTTTTTCACAAGTCTATTGCGTCGTGCAACCCGATCCTCCAATATTAACTTTTAATAAGTGTGTTGCGGCGTGCAACCCGATCCTCCAATATTTCCATTTCAATCAATTCTTATAGAAGAAATTCCCCAATAAACGCAATAATTAATATAAAATCATAAGACAACAAACATACAATAATTATAATTTAATTATGAAACAATGATAATTAGTAATTTATTATAGAAATCAGGGACAAAATAGGCAGTTTAATATTTAAAATGCTAAATGTCAAATAACAATTAAAACACACAATTCAAATAGCATGTAACAATTAATGCAGAAATTTAAGAATTAATATTTTGACAAATAATAAGAGAGAAACAATTATTATAGTAATTAATTTATGATTAAAAATAATTTATGATTTTTTAAGTAAGCAGGCAAACAATTAATTTGACGACGTATAGACACTCGTCATTTCGCCTACACATCGTTCACATGCAATTCACATAACAAACAATTTAAGGGTTCTATTTTCTCAAGTCAAGGTTAACCCTGACACTTACCTCGCTTTGCAAATTCCAAATCAATTATTCAACCACATCTTTTCCTTTTAAATTTGCCTCCGAAAGCTTCAAATCTATTCACAAACAATTCGATATATTCAATAAGAATCATAGAAAATTAATTCTATATGAATTTATAAATTTTTCGGATAAAAATTCAAAATTCATTAAAATATTCGGCAATAGGACCCACGTCTCAAATCCCGAAAAAACTCACGAAATCCGAACACCCGTTCCGATACGAGTTCAACCATACAAAAATTGTCCAATTCCGATATCAAATGGACCTTCAAATCTTAACTTTTCGTTTTTGAAAGATTTTATAAAAAATCTGATTTCTTCCATCTAAATCGGAAATAAATGATGAATATAGACATGAATTTGTAAAATATAATCACTTTTGGTTAAAGAACACTTACCCAATTCAAAGTCGTGAAAATTTCCTTTGAAATCGCCCAAATCCGAGACTTGAAACTAAAAAATGAGTAAAAATAGCTAAGACCCGATTTTATGTATTCTGCCCAGCATTTTCGCATTTGCGGGCTATATTTCGCACGTGTGGTCACGCATTTGCGAGAAAAATCTCTCATTTGCGAAGTAGGGCTGCCAGGCGAGGTTCCGCATCTGCGGACATTTCTCTCGCACCTGCGACGTCGCAGAAGCGACCAAACGACCGCAGAAGTGGTCTCTTCTGCAGAAGCGATACAGCCTTCGCAGCAGCGGTCGCGCATTTGCGCCCCATTTCTCTGCAGAAGCGATGTAACTAGCCAATGCCTCTTTCGCAGAAGCGACTATCTTCTCGCAGATGCGGTTGCGCACATGCGATCACCATTGCGCAGGTGCCATTACACCAAGTTCTGCCAAGAACATGCTGCTTTAAACATGCTCTAAACCATCTGAATCTCGTCCGAAACTCACCCGAGCCCCTCGGGACCTTATCCAAATATCCCAACAAGTCCCGTAATATAATACAGACTTACTCGAGGTCTCAAATCACATCAAATAACATCGAAAATGCAATTCTCACCTCGATTCAGACTTTGAGTTTTAAACTTTTTAATTTGCAAATCTCGTGCCAAAACATATTAAATGAATCCGGAATGACTTCAAATTTGGTACACAAATCGTAAATGACAAAACGGAGCTTTTCAAATTTCCAGAATCAGACTCCGGCTCCGATATCAAAAAGTCAACCCCGTGGTCAAACTTGGAATCTTTAGCCTTTAAATTGCTAGTTCCGTTAAATGGTCATAACTTGAGCTAGGGACCTCCAAATTAAATTTCTGGCATACGCCCAAGTCCCAAATCACAATACGGAGCTATCGGGACTGTCAAAATACTGATCCGGGTCCGTTTGCTAAAAATATTGACCAAAGTCAACTTAGTTGAGTTTTAAGGCTCTATTTCACATTTTAATCCATTTTTCGCATGAAAACTTTCCGGAAAATTGTACGGACTGCTCACGCAAGTTGATGAATGATAAATGGTTCTTTTCGAGGTCTTAGAACACAAAATTACTTATTAATTTTAAAGATGACATTTTGGGTCTTAATAGTTAGGACTTAATTAGAGTTAGGAGCACATGATAATTTTGATGTAATTTATGCATTTATTTTCATATCAAAAAAGAGGTTGCGGACAAGAATAGAATGGTATATTATGCATTATTATTTGGCAGCAAAGTATATTATACTAGTAACAGAGGCGAATACAAGATTTAAATCACACAAGTTCAAGTTTTAAGTTTTTTAGTATTGAACCCGTTATATTTTTAAAGTTATGGGTTCATATCTACTATTTTTGCAATTTTAATGAATTTTACATAAAAATTTTTACTCCGCATCGAAAGTTACGGGTTCAATGCTCAACATTACATTCACCCCTGGCTACTACACGTTGTACACTTGGGGGGTCGTTTGGTTCGAAGACATCTTATACATGAATTAGTAATCAGAGATTAGTAAATAGTAAGGCAAGAATCAGTAATACGAGAATTAATAGTATATTAATATTTCTTGTTGGGTGTTTGCTTTTTTGCACTAAAATTCTGTATACAAAGTATCATCTAAATTATTTTAAACTAAAAACATGAATTTTCAATTATACCCTAGGATATTTCAGTCTTCGCAGGCTTTTTGGAAAAAAAGACAAATGTAATTTTGTCGTTTTGGTGCTATTCCATGTATTCCTAGATTAGTTATTCCATATTGGTAGTGGGATAAGATAATAAATTATTGGCGTATAAATTAATACATAAATCAGTTATCCTACATCTGAAATCACAACCAAACAATATACTAACTCAATACAAATTAATTTTCTTATTCATCATACCAAACGATCCCTTAATCTTCAACATATCAAGGACTTTGATCTAGTTTTATGGAGAAAGACGGGAATTCAAAATCCTTTGGTTTGTTCATTCACCAAATACAATCAATGTTCGATAAGATATCAGTAATGAGAATCTCCGAAATATGACGATAAGCTTTTTGAGTTAGATGTACGCCGTCCCAATTCATAAATCGAGAAGGGTCAGAACAAACTGAAGTCTCATTTGATCCACATGTTTTCTTCCCATCAAAGTTATATTTTCCTCCATTTCCACAACACGCTTTCAGCAACGATTCACGATCTATTCCGAGATAATACGCTCTTCGAAAAACAGACAAAAAAGCTCCATAATAATCTACATATAGAATAACAACATCTGAATATTGACGACTTACCAAAGATATTGTATCTCGAAGATAGTTATTGTGAAATGATGCAAACTTATTATAATCTCTCAAACATCCAAATTCGTCGTAGGCATCGGGATCGGAGCTCGGAGATGAAGTCAGTAGTGACGGTAAGCAACCAAATGGAGAAACACCGGAGATAACTATCCGTTTCACTCCTAATTTAATGATTTCTTTGATGCCTTCAACAATGGCATTGACAGTAAATGGGACTAAAGTTTTAGCCTCTTCAATGGATTTTCTATTAGAAAAGGCAGTGAAATAATCATTTCCACCAAAAGCACCAATACTTACGAGTGCTTTTCGTAGCTTCTTAGCACAGAGCGTTGGGCTTCTACAAGTACAATTAAGGTGATTTTTAAACCACTCAATTTGTGCACTTAACGGAGGGTTAAATGATTTAATGCTAATGTTTCTTTCATCGAAGAATGACTTGTCAAGAGCCGTACTTCCGGCGACGGCGAAATTGACGCCGTGAATAAATGAAGAGTTTTTTGATAAGTAAGGATTAAGGAGGGGAAGTTTAAGAGCTATTGCAATGTAATCAATCATTAAAAGGCCATCTGAAAATCGGCCGGTGGGTTTGCCAAAGTAAGTTTCACCGTAAGGAAGATGGCCGGCGTGGAAAGTTGGAGGAATTCCGGGGATAAGAATTCGGTTTCCGGTGTCGGCGAGTGAATCACCCAATTGATAAATGGAATTAAATGGGCAAATAGGAGCAGTTTCTTTGGCATTAGAAAAGAAAGAGAGAGAGAAGGCTGTTGAGAGAAATAAGAAAGCAAGTGCTATAGAAGCCATAGTTTGAACACGCGAAATGAATTGATTATCATAATAATATATACTCCCTAGTCAACAACAACTAATGGGTACGAGTATGCAAACCTTATCTCACTAATGGATCTGAACAACAAGAATATAGTGTATATGCAAAATTTACCCCTATTTTAAATGTAAAGAAATTATTTTTGATTGATCTTCGGCTCGGGAAGGGAAAAAGGGACAATAATTAGTAGCAGCAACAGAGGCCAAAAAGACAAGGTCAACGACCTCAAAAACAAAAAAAATGAAGAAAAAAATAGTATGAACATAGCATGTACCACTAGCATTCTAAGACAAGATACTGTCAGACTAGCCTTACATTTTAACCCTAATGCTTGACCACTAGCATTCTAACACTAATGTTCGACCTCCACACCTTTCTATCGAAAATATAACCAGACCATCGGTAAGTTGGAATCGCGTTATGTCATTAGCTCTCTCCAATACTTCTAGGAATAATTAAAAAAATGAACTACTAATAAGTAATATCTAGGAGTAGTAGGTTTTAGTGTATGATAGTATTAATTAACAATTTGGATTAACTTAAAGCCTTAAAATGCGGCAAGTTGTACATGACAGTCCGAAGTTGCAATTCTATAATAAGCACGAGATATTAGTTTTAATAAATATTTGTGTTATTTTATCCCAAAAAAGTATGTGTTATAAATGCAAGTGTGTCAGTCAACTTTAACGGATACTTCTGGTGGCTGATCTGATTTGACTCATTTCTACAATAATTTTACTTCATAGAGAAAAATTACATTTTCAGAATTTAAGCAAACTTTAGTAGGTGTTTGAACGTAACAACAACAACAACCCAGTAAAATTCCACTAATGAGATCTGGGAAGGGTAGTGTACGCAGACCTTACCCCTATCCCGAAGGAGTAGAGAGGCTGTTTCCGAAAAATCCTCGGCTCAAAAAAATAAAAAGACAAAATGACAAAAAAAAACAATATTAGTATCACAACAACAATTATAGGATAAATAGGAACACCATGAAATCCATAAGAAAGATGCAAAGCAAAGGGAGACAATATTAGTAAATATTAGTATCACCACAATAATCATAAGCAAAATAGGAACACCATGAAATCTAGAAGAAAGATGCAAAGCAAAAGCGATAGCTAGTAAATAGGACATGCACTGAAAAGAGAAATAGTAAGCCACAATATTGCCAATAGCTATCTTAGACAAAAATTCTACATGGCTAGTCCCACAATGGTACGAAGTAAGGCACGACTCAACTACCTCTTAACCTACAACCCTAATACCCGACCTCCACATCTTCCTATCAAGTGTCATGTCCTCGGAAATCTGGAGCCTCGCCATATCATGCCTGATCACCTCTCCCCAATACTTCTTAGGACATTGCCAATAGCTATCTTAGACAAAAATTCTACATGGCTAGTCCCATAATGGTACGAAGTAAGGCACGACTCAACTACCTCTTAACCTATAACCCTAATACCCGACTTCCACATCTTCCTATCAAGTGTCATGTCCTCGGAAATCTGGAGCCTCGCCATATCCTGCCTGATCACCTCTCCCCAATACTTCTTAGGTCGCCCTCTACCTCTTCTCGTGCCATCCACAACCAACTACTCACACCTCCGTACCGGAGCATCTGGGCTTCTCCTCTGAACATGTCCGAACCATCTAAGCCTCGCTTCCCCCATCTTGTCATCAATGAGAGCCACATGCACCTTCTCCCAGATATCATCATTCCTAATCTTATCTATCCTAGTGTGCCCGCACATCCACTGCAACATTCTCATTTCTGCTACTTTCATCTTCTGGATATGTAAGTTCTTAATGGGCCAACACTCAGCCCCA